CGCAGCCCATGTAAAATTTATGTAAGTTCAACTTTTAAAAAACGTGTCTCGAGACTTTATGGTGGTGTTTCTGCATCACAGAAAAATCCCATGTTTTTAAATGAAAAAAGTGCTATTTGTGATTGATTTTCCATCCTTTCTATTCAGCTATACATACATACATGATGCTGTTTTGTTTCAAATTTTTTAAGCAACGTAATTAATATTATATGGTTTATAAACATTATTTTAAACACTATGCACTTTTTTCAAAGACAGTCCTGTTATTTTATTGCTTTGAAGAAACGTGCATTAGTAATATTTTGCTCGATGCGCCCTCTTGTGGCCTCAGGAGAGAAGCCAAAAGTTTTTTCCTCCTAACAGCTTTTTTGAGTATTTGAATATTGATAATATTTTAATACAAAATTCGAATTTAGTTTTTCAGCCATTTTGACAGCCCTAACACACACCTCCTCCTGTGACTCTGTTTCTCTGCGATTTGTTCCTGTAGTTCATGTCTATAACGCTCCTTTTTCCTCTGCAGTGTGCCCTCCAGACCCACTGCACCTGACAAACAAAATCAGCCATGTCAGAAGCCTGAGCCTTAAAATCAGTTCAATGGATGAATATCCTGTCATCATTTACATTTCCCAAACTGTATGACTTTCTTTCTTCCGCAGAACAAAAAAGAAAGATTTGGAGGACATTGGGAACCTACTTTTTTGGAAACTATTTTCGTGCCCACTGAATTCCATTGTATGGAAAAAACACTGTTCCACAGTTTTGGAATGACAGTTTGCGATGGTGAATAAATGATGACAGAATTTAAATTTTTGGGTGAAGTATTCCTTTAAAATCAAATCAGAATTATTCTCCATGGAATGAAGCAATGAAACATCACTTCTACAGTTATTAAGCCAATCAGAGCAGTAAAAAGGACCTCTAACCAATCAGAATCATGATACTAAACTCATACCTATTAAAAGTCCTGTGGTGCAAACTGTGTCCCGACTGGCCACAGATACAGATCTTTCATTGGCTTGGGTCACAACGGATGTCGACATTCTACGACAATGAAGTGAACAACAGTGAAGGAAAAGAGATGAACGTGGGTGAGATCTATCCTGCCATTTAAAACAGCCAGTTTGCCAATACTGTAAATCTAATCAGTGTATGCATCTTTTACCTGTTTCTGTGCTGTAGTTTGCTTGTTTGATGTCCTGTGTCTGTGAACAATTCCCCTCTGCTTATGAGAAAAAGAGAGACAGAGATAAAGATGATACTGTTAATATATATGCATAAATTATATAAATAATTATATATGTGAATAAAAAATTCAGAATCAGCCCATAGAGAATAAAATGGGTTCAAGAGTCACCAGTTGTAAACATCTTTCCCTCTGTCTCTGTCCTCACCTGTTTGCTGTCCTGGTGTCTCTCTCTCTCTGATGTCGCCTCCCTTGCAAAAGCATGAGTTCTTCTTCACTGCAGTCTTCCTCAGAGCTACACACACCCCATCCCAGCCCACACACCTCTGTAAGGGTGGCCACATCCCTCACACGGACCGTCTGAAAAAGTGAGCGGGAGAGATTTGCCCTTATAAAACAGTACTTTGGCAGAATCATGGTACAGTAATAATATCAGAGAGTAATATCATGGTAATGTATGGTACACTAGCAGGTGATGTGGCTTTTCTAATGAAGTAGTTCAGAAGAAGTTGGAAGGGATGGTGGGGAGTTGGGTAGCGTCAAAAACGCCATTGTGCCATGTAGTAAAACATGGTAATACAATAGTAATTTTTAGTAAGTGTAACAAACATTGCATTAAATATAATCATATTGTATCAGAATACTCAGCTGTTCGACATGACAGCAAATATAACAGATATGAAAGTGACAGACACAGAAGTGAAATCTCAACCTCACAAAACTGAGGTACAGTACAGAAGGAGGGAAACAGCAATAATCATGCTTTAGACCCAATAATAGCGTACCCTGGGTATTCGTCTTCTCTCTGGAACTGTGTGAATGTCACCAGCTTCCCTGTGATCTTTCTGCAAGAGACACAAAGATAGTGAGTAATAAAGATTCTGGGTCTGTATAAAGGGTTCTATTGTGTTTGAACTGGTTTTGCCATTGTGTCTCACCTCTGCCTTGTATTTCCTGTAATCATTCCTGAGTTCCTCTTGCAGTTTGTGTTTCTTTCTCTCATATTCCTCTCCGAGTTGCAAACTTACTCCATCTACATAATGAAATTTCACATACACACCTTTAAAACCAGGTATCCATATAACAGAAATTAATTTACAACCATATTAAATTGCAAACAAAGCTGTACCTTGCTGGCTTGTGCGTGGAGGGATGTTCTCTTTCTGGAGAACGTGGCCTGTCCGCCTCTGATACATTAATATTTAACAACATTAAAATGAAAACCAGTCACACACATTCTCTTTATCCCCATCATTAACTCTCTCTCACCCTCATCTCCATGTAAGGGGGCTCCTGTTCCAGACTTGCCTTCTCCTCGGCTATCTTCGATTTCTGATCTTCCAGAAACTTCTCCAATACCTCATCCATCTGGAACACATACAAAATATTAATGCAAAGCAGATCAAACATAAACTGCAGTTCTACAGCACCACCTGTAGATACATATTATTTTACATAATACCAGGAACACTTTACAGTAAGGTCCCATTATTTAATGTTAGTTAGTGCATGCACTAAAGTTAACTAACAACAAGCAATAAAGTTTTGGTTACACTTTTTTATTTTAAGGTGTCCTTGTTACAGTGTAATTATACATTTAAGTTCTGAGTAATTTTATTTATGTATTTACTGTATGGTTAGGGTTAGGATTATGGTTTGGCTTAGGGTTACTTGCATGTGTAATTATGCATAATTTATTGTTATTACAAAAGTAAGTGCATGTAATGTGTAACAAGGACACATTCAAATAAAGTGTTACCACAGTTTTTACAGTATTTGTTAATCTTTGTTATTTAATAATATTGATTAATACAACTTCTGCTTTTAATATGGCTTTAGAAGTAGTTTTTGTAGTTAACCAATGTTAACAACTGGAAACTGTAGTGTTACCACAATATCTATTATGTATCTTTATTTATAGGTGCAAAAAAATAGTTCGTTTTTACAGTGAAAATAAGAGAAAAGAAAATAAAACACAATAAGCAAGCAATACATAAAACAAGTGGTATATGCAACAAATTTGACCTTTTCTAACTTAATATTTTTCAGACATTTTAGGTGAGGTGTCCAAATAACTTACTTATGAACCACCCTTACAAACAATTACCACGCTAACCGTTTATGCCTCCACACCATGACAAAAGTGCACGTTACACACCTCTCTGAATTCCTTCTGGTGTTAAACTCAGTTTAATCTTCTCTGAACACATCTGATCTTCCACTACACAAAACAATCATTTCATTTACTGAAGTGCGTTGTTTATTTACTAAATCTAAGGTGTTATCTGATACAAACTCTATTCTCGAACTAATAATCTCAACAGAAAATGTAGCCTACTGTCCTGGTTTCTTTGGGTAAAGGTAATAAATGTGTCATCTGATATCTGGATCTGTTCATAGCTTGGAAATAATCAATGTTTTAAATGAACTGTATATTTATCCAATATGTTAATCGGTTCATAATCTGATCTCTTGTAAAGTCACAAGTGAACAGAAACAGAGCTCCGCTAATATTGCTCTCTTCCAGTCTTCCTGTCTTTCACTTCCTCTCTTCCTCTCTTCCGCTATTCCTCTTTTCGTCTCGCAGCTGCTGATTTATATAACGCATGGATAGGCAGAAGCGGAAAAGGCTGCTCGGTCGTGACGTTTTGGGGCCATGGGTTTAAAATTGAGGTTTTAAAAATAAATAAAAAGTAAATCAATTAAATTTCGCTCTGTTCATTTCACAAAATTAGGTATTATTGTGTAAAAATTATCATGTGTTTTTCTTCGGAAAATAAACTCATTATGTATGTTCTCAATTGTTTGTTCAATGTTTAAAATGCATCACAGGAGAATTCTGTCTTTTTTTTCCTGAACATTTCCTCTACATTACATTTATGTATTATGGCGTTCTGTAATGGAGATTACATTTTAAACATTTTTTTGGGGGTGGGGGGGAGACAAATAACTAATTAGTCTAACAAGACATAAGTCATACTCTTTATGAACATTGTTTGCATAATTCAACAAAATTGATGATTTATTGGAAATTACTTATAATAGGAAAATTCTCTTTAAAGATGACAAGTAATTCTGTCATTTTTCTGAAGGTTAAGAACATTTCCTCCACATAGCATTTTGTAAATTGCGATTTAGACTATTTTCAGATATGGCCAACTTCATTTCAAAACTAGTTTTACTATTTTGTGTACGTTTTATACTATACTTATTGCATAATTAGGCAAAAATACTGATTGAAAAGGATGCACAGTTAAAGGATTACATTTACAACAGCCTATTCACTTTTTGTAAATCACATGATCTGTTTTGGTAAAAAAAAAAATATATAATTATCTCAACTATTTAATAATTTAATTTATAAATATTAGATCATATTATAATAAACAATATTATTTGCTATATAACTTAACATTATATCTTTTTTTTCAGCCTGTGGTCGTCTTCTATGAGAAAGAGAAAGAAACAATGTATGAAACAGTTGTATGTTTATGTATCTAAAACAACTGCAGTTTATTCTTACGCCCATGTAAAGATTGCTGAAGTAAATAAACACAACACAACCTTTGGCCTTCTTTGTATTGTGGTTATTGTAGTTTTGTTAAAGTCACTTTTGATATTTTATCGTATGAGTCGTCCCAGTCGGTAGTAAACAAATATTGCATTTTGTAAATAAAAGAAAATCCAAACATTTTTGTATAATATTAGAATACGTTTTAATCTTTTTTTTTTTTTTTAAATAATGTCGTTAGAAGACCTCTAGACCTGTGACGGTTAAGAACTTCATCTCCCAGCATGCCTTGCGCTACCCATAGGGTCACATTGTGTTACAGAACCGCTTCCGTGTTGTGTTTGTTACTGGAAAACAGAAACTGCGTGAGGTGACATAATTTTCTCTCGCCCGTGACTGAGTAGACAGCGATGCTTTTGTAAACCGCTGCGTCAGAAGAGATATTAGATTGGGCTATGTCGTTGATTCCGGGCTCAAAGCAGAAGGACAAGCGCATTTTATGCGGGATGTGCCCGGACCCGCAGTGCCAGGCGAAGCTCTTCTTCCCCGCACACACCTCCATGAGCATCGAGTGCACTGAATGCGGCCAGAGACACGAGCAGAAGAACCTCGCGAATGTGGAGGAAGTGACTGACCCAGATGTAGTGCTTCATAATTTGCTGAGAAATGCTTTGCTGGGTGTGCCAGGCCCTCCTAAAAAGGGCTCCGAGCTGGTGAAAGTGATGGGACTGTCCAACTATCACTGCAAGCTGCTGTCTCCCATCCTCACCCGCTATGGCATGGACAAACAGACAGGCACTGCCAAACTCTTGAAGGAAATGAACCAGGGAGAGATCTTTGACTGCTCGCTTCTTGGGGACCGTGCTTTTCTCATCGAGCAAGAGCATGTGTCCACTGTTGGGTATGGACGGGACCGGTCAGGGAGCTTGATCTACCTGCATGACACTTTGGAGGAGATCAAGAAAGCAAACTTGAATAGAGAGTGTCTTATTCCCGTGCACGTGGATGGAGACGGTCACTGCCTGGTCCATGCTGTGTCCAGAGCGTTAGTTGGACGTGAGCTCTTCTGGCATGCCCTTCGAGAAAACCTAAAACTCAATTTCAAGCAGAACCTCGACTGCTATAAAACCCTTTTCCAAGACTTTATAGATGCCGCAGAATGGGAAGACATCATTAATGAGTGTGACCCATTGTTTGTCCCTCCAGAAGGCGTTCCCTTGGGGCTTAGGAACATTCACATATTCGGCCTGGCGAATGTACTGCACAGACCCATAATCCTGTTGGACTCCCTGAGTGGCATGCGCAGCTCGGGCGATTACTCCGCCACCTTCCTGCCAGGCCTGGTTCCAGAGGAGCAGTGCCGAGGAAAAGATGGCACTCTGAACAAGCCCATCTGCATCGCCTGGAGTAGCTCTGGCAGAAATCACTATCTACCCCTGGTGGGCATCAAGGGCTTGACTTTGCCCTGTTTACCTGCTGCACTGCTCCCGAAAGCATGGGGTGTTCCTCAAGAGCTGATTCGCAAATACGTGAGCTTGGACTCCAACGGAAGCTGTGTGATCAGTGGCGACCGGAGCCTGCAGGATAAGTACCTGCTGCGGCTCGTAGGCGTGATGGAGGATGTCTTCATGGACAAGCACGGCATCCACCCCGCTCTAGTCGCCGATGTCCACCAGTATATATACCGACGCACTGGAGTGATTGGCGTGCAGCCGGAGGAGGTGACGGAAGCGGCTAAGAAATCCGTTCAGGAGGGTCGTCTCCATCGCTGCCTTGTCTGCAACGCGCTTTCAGAGCTCCACGTCCCAGCAGAGTGGCTCATACCGGGAGGGAAACTCTACAACTTGGCCAAGTCGACTCACGGTATGCTGCGGGTGGACAAGAACTACAGCTTTCCTTTAAATAGTTTGGTTTGTTCCTATAACCCAGAAAAAGATGTGCTGGTGCCCGACTACAAACTCAGCTCACTCACGGCCTGCACCTGGTGTCACGGTACTTCAGTGCGACGCGTTCATGGCGACGGCACCGTCGTCTATTTGGATGGAGACCGTACCAACACTCGCTCACAGGGTGGAAAGTGTGGCTGCGGGTTTAAACACTTCTGGGAGGGGAAGGAGTACGACAATCTTCCTGAAGCCTTTCCCATAACTCTGGAGTGGGGGGGCCGTGTTGTGCGAGAGACCGTTTATTGGTTCCAGTACGAAATGGATCCGACGCTCAACAGCAATGTTTACGACGTGACGATGCGACTTGTCACGAAGCACTTCCCCGGAGAGTTTGGCAGTGAGATTCTAGTCCAAAAAGTGGTGAACACCATCTTGCATCACACCGCCAAGAGGAGCCAAGATGAATACAATCCAGTTGCCATCGAAGGTGCTCATATGCAGGATGGGAGAGATGGGAGCGAATCAGTCGCTCACCCTCCTACTAAAATCATCCTGACGGGACAGAAGGGCAAAACCCTGCATAAAGAAGAGCTGGTGATGAGCAAAACCGAGAGGGTCTTGCAGCATAGCATCAGCGAGCAGGCGGCCTTGTCCCAGCGCCGTAGCACAGACCGCTTGCGCCAGCAAGATCCTCGCCCATCATCTCCTTCCTCTTCATCATCCTCTGCTCCTCCCACACCCACCAAAGTGCCACCCACCAGTGGAGAGAAGAAGATACGTGTAACGACCAGCGACGGGCGGCAGGCCATGCTTACGCTGCAACCGCACACCACCTATGGTGAGCTCCAAAACTCCATCGTCCAGGTCTTCAACTTGTCGCCCGGACAGCTGTGCATCCGACACGGCTTCCCACCCAGAGAGCTGCCCCCGCCGCGTCCCGAGGACCAGAACCAGCCCGTGGCGCTTCAGCATGGCGACCGCATCTCTGTGGAAGCGCTGAAAGAGAGCTCGCCCGATACTCACATGACCCAGACGCACTCTCACACACCTCAAACGCACGCTCACTCTGACCCACGACTCAGCCGCACCAGTAGCAGGGAACTTCAGGACAACATTGACCTTGAGATGTCATCACTGTGTCTCCTGGCAGCACTTATGGGTAAGACACACCCACCTGTTATAGATCTGCTTTATGAGGAGACTGTGGACAGGATCGGCACAGGAACAGTTTCTTTCCTCAGGCAATCCATCTCATGAACACTTAACAATAATCGTGGAACACACAACACTAGTATACATTATTTATTTAACACACATACTTATTTACATTTCAAATTTGCACATATCATACCTGTACATACAAAATTGTCTATATTATATATTGTGTTTTTGCTTTTTTGTACATTGTCTATTTTGTCTATTTTTATATTATTCTTTTTATTATGTGTCCTGTCTTGTCAATGTCATTCTGTTGCACTGTGGAGCTTCTGTCACTAAAACAAATTCCTTGTATGTGTAAACATACCTGGCAATAAAGCTCATTCTGATTCTAAACGATGTGTGTAAGAAATGTCTAATTAATTTGTTTTCTCTTCTCCTCTCTCTTGTTCTTTTTCTCTCAGGTGAAGATGTCTGGTCATATGCCAAGAAACTGCCTCACCTGTTCCAACAAGGAGGAGTCTTTTACAATATTGTGAAGAAAGACATGGGTAATCTCTCTTTTTTTTCACTTTCTCACACACAATTTGAATTGGTTTTTCAAAATTTATAATTGTGCTTGGCACAACAAAGACTGTATGTGTTGCCCAAAAGCATTTGCAGTAACACTGTATTGTGAGGGTGGGATTTGAGAACCGCTTCTTATTTAGAACTGTTTTTATTTTCTTAAAAATACAGAATAGTTTTCACAATTTGTGGTGTGGAAGTGGCCCTCTGTTAATCCAGACTTTTGTTTGCTCTGCCACTGCTTGAGAGAGGCAATGCAGTGGAGTTAAATATAATTTAATTTAGATTAACTGTACATGCCCAGTAGTCAGAGAAAAGTGGTGAAAAGCTACTATTTTGTGATTTTAAATGAGGATTTTTTAATTTAATATAATTTAACTTTTTCTTTACAAATTAGACTATTAGTTTAACAATTGAGTTAAAAGTTGAATTGAAAAATTAACACATTTCAGAATGTCTTAGTGTTTGGTTTGTCCCTCTTTTTGCTTTAATGTAGCTCAAGCAGTAGAGTTGCAAGGGTGTATGTTTGATTCCCAGGGAATGCAAGAAAAATGATAAATGTGTACCTTGATTGCAGTGTAAGTCGCTTTGGATAAATGTAAATGTTTGATGACAGCAGGACTCAAGCTGCATAAACTGATGATCATGTTTCCCAGCATGAAATAAACTTGTGCTTCACTAGATTAAAGAACATCTAACCTTCCGATTCTGAGTTCAACTGGTCATTGTCACAAACATATTTAATTTAATGTGACCTAGAAATAATCTGAAATATTTCTTTTTCCAACTTATTTTTTTTAAAGGGGTCATATGATGCTTTTTTAAAGATCATTATTTTGTGTATTTGGTGTAACAGAATATGTTGACATGCTTTAATGTTCAAAAAACACATTATTTTTCAAATACTGTACATTATTGTAGGTCCTCTATGCCCCGCCTCTCTCAAACGCTTAGTTTTCTACAAAGTCCCTCCTTCCGACAAGCGCAGTCTAAAACAAATGTATGATGATATGCCTACTAAGCCCAAAATATATTTGATTGCTTTTTCTGGTTTTATGTCTTTTCTTTTTTTTTATAATGCATTATATACATATATATATATATATATATATATATATATATATATTCAGTGAATATTGTTATAACTATTTAGGAATATTGTTAACATTTGTAAAATGAAATTGACAATATGAAAACTTATTAAATTGATTGTATCATCCACCTCTACGCAGACAATGAGAAACTGTGCTAATAATCTCTATTTCTGTGTTAAGGTCTGTTGGACGGGAAGCACTGCACACTGCCCCATTTGTCGGGCAAGACGTTTGTGTTCAATGCTGCGGAGGGGCGTTTGGAGCTGTGTGTGGACACAGCCGGTCATTTTCCATTGGGCCCTGATGTGGAGGAGCTCGTCCAGGAGGCCCTTTCCCAACTCCGCTCAGACGCAGCCTCCCATAGCCACGAGGGAAGCCCCGCCCACGGCCTGCGATTGGGCGCCGGCGGTGCAGTACGCAAGAAAGAGCAGACCGTCATGGCCTTCCAGGGCAAAGGTCACTCATTGGGTTCCGCCCCTCCAGAACACCAACCAATCAGGCGGCAGCACAGCAGCGGCATCGATCTCAGTAACAGCGCTCGCGGTGAAGAGATAACGTTGTCAGGGGAGGAGTTGGTGCGCGTGGCCCCGGGCATGCTCACTTTACGCGAGGGCCCTGGTTTGGGGCTGGAGCCTGCCGTTATCGAGGCCCAACGGCAGCGTCTGCAGGAGATGGTCTCAAACATACAGGCGTCTATGGACAAACACTTGCGCCAGCACGCTGCAGCAAGGCATGATGTGAAGGAAGAAGAGGCTCCTGACAAACAGGAGGATATGGAAAGTCACGGTGCGGAGCCTCCCAGCACCTTTGAACCCATGGACCAATCTTGATACTTCATTATCCGTATAGCAGAGTGAGCTTCCTGGCATTACACACATACACACACTGTGATTCAACTAACAAATAATGGTGCAGCCGATTTACTGACATATGCATCTTTTGAGTGTGAAACGCATTCGTTAAATATTCTCGAAGTCTTAAGATGTGAAATTTGGAGTGATTATTACAGGAATTGAGTGTCGGCTTTCATTCACCTAAATATAAACATGGTGCACACTGATTTAAAGAGACAGTTCAACTAAAATTGAACATACTGTTATTAATTTACTCACTGTCATGTCATTCCAAACCAATGCCTTTTTTTCTTATTCTGTGGAACACAAAAAAGATATTTTGACTGTTTCTGTCCATATAATAAAAGTCAGTGGGGTCCAAAAAAACAGACCCAAATGTCGTCTTTTGTGTTTTGCAGAAGAAAAAAAAGTCAGAATGACATGAGGGTGAGTAAATGTTGACAGAAGTTTCATTTTTGGTTGAACTATCCCTTTAAGATCACCCTTGAGCTTTGCTAGTATCCACAGTACTTAAATAATCAAAGTGCACTTTGACCCTCATTGCTGGGTTCATGGCTTTCTTACCAACTTAATAATTCACAATCCAATTTGAAACACTGACTGTCTCACTGAGTCCAAACTTCAGCCCTGCGTCTGTGTGCACTTAGTAGGTAACAGGGTCTCCTTGATCATATGTTTGTGTCCTCAACACAGTTCTGACCTGTGGAACAAACAGGGCTTCTCTACCCACAATTCATTGCTGTCTATCCAAAGAGCACTACGCGGTAAAAGCCTGGAAACGAGTTCCAGCAGGATTTCACGTTTACTTCATCGTCCCACTACACACTTAGAGCACAGAAACCTCTCTCAACAGATCAGCATGGAGTATCCATACATCTGAGAACGAGTTTCTGTTTTGTAATCTCAGATTGGCCTTCTCAGCGTTGCCTTTAGTGTGGCCCAGGCTTGTTATTTGGTTTTGTTGTACCGTTTTGCATGTCCTTTCTTCTATAAACACTGTTCAGTACAAGACAATTCATACACTTAGTATCGGAATGTAATGTACTAGATTCTGGCAAAATCTTCTCTTAGAAAATCTTAACAGAAAGTAGCCGAGTGGGTGATATTTTCAGGATATTCTGATTCAGCGCTGTAGTAATATTGTTACCTTACCTGTGTGTTAGGCCATACTAATATGCTGAAGTAGAGGGCAATGTGCATCAAGGACGGTTTAAGTGTTTTCTTTTGAGTTCAGAAAAAAAACGATATCCACATCCTGTTCTAGACAGATTTTTCTTGTCACCTTGGCAACTGATTCATATAAACCAAAAAAAAAGTTTACAGTTAAACGGATTAATAGAGCTGTTAAGCTTTGTGCTTCAGTCACTGGGTAGAGCATAAAACAGATGGAAAATCCTAGAGATTGTGTTGAACTCATATCTATTGAAACTTTGCTGAGCTGTTCTATTTAGCCCGGTGTTGCCAAAAACAGGTGGTCGAACCTGTTGTTAACAGCCTTAATGAGTCTTTTACCCTCCCCTGCTCTGATCTGCAGTGTTTGTGCGTGACACACTTCCGTATGACAGAGGATCTGTTCTGAGAAGGATAAACTGGAGAATTGGAACGAGGCCTGACTTTGGTCCAAGGCCGAGCATGATGATGTTGGAGGCTTGATGAGCTTTTGATTTTAAAAGATTGGTTTTTGATTTTTAAGTCGACAACATCTATACCAGAGCACTTTTCTGTGTGGACGTGTTTATTAGCTCTTGAACATAATTGATATTGTTGGTGTAAAGAGCAGCACAAAAGAAATGTTTTACTGCTTCATGTAACAGACTCAAGCGCAGGTTGTTTCTCTGTGACTGCTGCCCTCCTGATATATTATATTCCAGTGTACAATAGTGGTATATATTGTATTATACTTTCATCTGTACAGATATTGAATCTGTTTTTTTTCCCTTCTGGATTGTTTCTCCTCTGTTTTTCAATAAAATAGTTGGATGATTCTACGCAGCTGAGGAATCTGCTGTTTGCATGCTTGATTACTTTTCAGCCTAACAACAATAAAGTTATTCCATCTGTATGAAACGATGTGATCGCTGTTTCTGAATCACTTTCTAACGCAGTTTTCTATTATCACTAATATATAGGTCACTAATGGACCACATCAATGTGAATTAGTGGTAATACTACTAGGCCTTTAAGATTTTATGTTAACATTTAATTTTATGTTAACATTTAATTTCATGCTAAAATGAAATAATGAACAATGCTTTCTATCTTGAGTGATGTTAAATTAAAAAAACTTGGGGTTAGTAAGACTGTTTTTTTTTTGTAAGAAGTCTTCTTTGCTCGCCAAGACTATTTTTTAATCTAAAATTTAGTAAAAACCATAATATTGTGATATTAAATTAAAATTTTAAATACCTTCTCTATTGTAATACATTAAAATGTAACTTATTTCTGTTATTAAAAAAACCCTATATTTTTAGCATCATTACTCAAGTCTTCAGAGTCACATGATCTTTCAGAAATAATTATATTATGTTGATGTGGTGGTCAAGAAACATTTCTTATTATCACTTGAAAACAGTTGCGCCGCTTAATGTAAAAAAAAAAAAAAATCAGGATTCTATAATGAACAAAATTAACAGCATTTACTTGACATATAAATGTCTTGGAACATTATAAATGCCTTTACTGACATTTTGATCAATTTAATGAATGCTTGCTTAATAATAGAAGTAATTACTTAAAAAAAATTTGCTGTGTATGCTAATAAATTTTTTAGATTTTTGGTTGTAAAAATAAATGTAACATTAAAGGTCCCATGGCATGAAAATTTCACTTTATGAGGTTTTTTAACATTAATATGAGTTCCCCTAGCCTGCCTATGGTCCCCCAGTGGCTAGAAATGGCGATAGGTGTAAACCGAGCCCTGGGTATCCTGCTTTGCCTTTGAGAAAATTAAAGCTAAAATGGCCCAATCTGGAATCTTCCCTTTATGTCGTCATACGGGGAAAGGTAATGTTCTTTTTAGCAACATCATATGACCCCTTTAATGTTTTACGAATGTGAAGTAAATAGTACATGTATTGATATTAACTTCAGTAAATTCTGTAGAAAATTGGTCATTGTTAGTTCATGCAACATAATGCATTCACAAATTGAAACTAATTGTACTGCATTACCAAATTAGTGTTGATATTTTTCTCCTAGTTAAGCTTGATGAAGTGATGATGATTATAGTCAGGCTGTAAATTACAAAATTGACTTTTCATTTCATTAAATTTTGCAGCTGTATGCCAATGTCCTCTAAATACAAGCTAAAAAGCCCATCAAAAATTAAGGGTAAACACCATAATTTAACAGTATTCATACCATAAAAAATTACAAACTTGGAAAAAATAAATTAACAATATTAATAGTTTAGTTTAGATAGTTTGTGGTATGTTATGGTCTGAGGTGTGGTTGAAATTACATTGATATATCATTTTTATGTAATGTACAGAATAAAAAAAAACATTCAGGGTCAAATAAACAAAACAAAAATAAACGTTGCTCTTAAAATGGAAATCTAAATGTACACTCCATAATATTCTATAGTACTTCCACTGTAAATGGATTTCTGTAAGCACATTTTTTTCTGTGTTTTTATAAATTGTAATACATCAAAATAATTTTCTCTGGTAATCAACTTATATAAGACTCTTTAGTAGATGTACTTTTTTGGGTTGATATTAACTTTGGCAACACTAGCATTTTAATATAAACATTGCATATATATATACACACATACATACACACACACACATTTATAAACTAACAACAATTTTTCATTGTAGTCTTTCTGCATTATTAGTCAAAACAGATACATATATTCAAAATTTAAATACGTTCATAGGCGAAGAGTGTGATATTTCCAATCAAAATCACAATATTTACATAGGGCAGTAATAGTAAAGATTCCTGATATCAGTTGCAGGCTCAGTGCCACGAACTGGCTATGAAGTTACTGAGGCCCCAAACTAATCAGGACACTGAACTTCTGTTTTCTCTCCAAATCTGAAGGAGTTGCATACAGACTGAACTTTGGTGTCATACTGTCCTAGTTTCTGCTGTTCTGTGACCCATTTAGAAGAGAAAGGTGGAGCTCTAGGGTTAGATCCATCAGTCAGGATGAAACGCAGGACTGATGGAGCCAATCGAACGTACAGCATGTCCGTCACTACGTCGACGAGAGAGCAGTCGCTGAAGTAATCGAGGTGAACCCGATACTCCTGACAGAGACGCTCGCCACGGCAGTTTCAGAGAGCGCCCTCTAGAAATACAAACATCAGCCATCACACAACACCACAAAAACAAATCAGAGTTGCACAATATCACAATACTCACCTAGAACAGCCACTCCGATCATTAGACGACGCTTGCGTGAAGTTTTGCGATGCCTGAGTCACAATGGGCCTCAACGGCTCCTGCTTCTGCACACATATACACATTTATTACACTTTAACATATAAATGTTAGATTCTTCAAAAAAAACATTGTTTTAAGACAGGTACTTATACAGTGGGTACGGAAAGTATTCAGACCCCCTTAAATTTTTCACTCTTTGTTATATTGCAGCCATTTGCTAAAATCATTTAAGTTAATTTGTAGTGTGCCAGTAGGAAATATTAATTTGAGGTTTCCCATTTGTTTTTAATGTTCCAAGCTTCTTGGAGAAATTTTTATCTATATTTAGGATACCTCAGTTTGCAAATGATAATGTCCTACTGGCACACTAAAGCAAACAATAGAAATAAATCATCTTAAAATGAATGTTGTAGAAACAAATGGTGTAGAAATCCTTTCTAGACGACAAGAAGCTGTTATAGCAGCAATGGGAGCACCAACCTCCTAGTAACCCTTATGGAAAAGAAGTGTGCTTAAATTAAAATAAAAAATTATTGCAGATATAATATTAATGAAATAATAATTTCCGTGCCTAACAACGTCCCTTAGCTGTTATAAATTCACTGTAAACCACGGCTTCTTGGGGCTTATTGCTTTATTCTTCTACCAATCAATGTAGTTCCTCAGAAACAGTTGTGGTTCCAACAAAGTGGTTGCCGAGCAACACACAGAAGTAAACAAAGGTGTATGTTTGTAGTGTTTTTACAACAGCTTTGAACGCGGGTCAACCAATCAGAATCAAGGACCGGAACTATCCGTTTTATAAGTACAATTAAATCATGTTTTACTAATCTTTTGTAAAGTACTTGATTATAATGTAACTGTAGTGTATTTTTTGATATTATATTTAAAGTTAATATATTTTAAATTTACTAATCTTCAAGTTTATCATTACAAATGTGCATTTAGAACATGATTTAGAAACATATTTAAGATTATACCATTCAAGTTTCGATAGAAATTACTTAAAAATATATTTTAGTTTACCAAAAATACTTGCCAGCACATTTTGCAGTACACCATTTTTCAAAGACAACAGAAGTATGCAATTACATAAAAACAAGTCCTACTTATAAGGCACTATTAAGTTCAAATAATTGTGTTTAATATAAATTTAAACTATAAATCATTTTCATATAATTGCATATAACTTGCTATTAACTGTCAAAAAACATAACATTCAGTTTGCCCCTAAGTATATTATTTTAAACTATATTATATCCTGAATGAGTACTCTTTTTAAAAGTGTGCTACAGTATACTTTTCACAAAGGGAACACATGGTTTTGAAATGAAATACACAGCATGTGTGTGCTTTAGGCCATGTAGTGTATCATTTGTGCATTATACGTGTTCGTATGCATGAGCACCGTAGTGAAGCAGGCTGTGGGAAGGTATCCTTCCTTTCCGTTCTGAAGTCGGGCGTAACACCAGTCGGCATTCTCCTGATACAGAAGCAACACCACCTCACCGGCACGGACACACAGCTCTTCATCACAGTCTGCACTGTAGTCTGCCGTCACAACCACCTCACACACACACAAACATATTTTATCTTCACCATTGGCTCTGTAGTTTAAACCACTGTATATGATGCTGCAGCTCAAAAGAGAAAATGTGTTACCATTTCTCCTTGGTGCTTGAATATCACTCTCTTCCGACAAACTGAAAGATTTAATCATTTTGCTATAATATTTGTAAATTTAACAGAAATTATATAAAAAGTGAGCAAGAAAAGATGACTAACCTTGAGGTGAGAGAACAGTGGTGAACACCTCAAACTCTTCATGGCTCTGTGTGTAGATTTGCTGCATGATGAAGTCAGACAGCACACAAACTGCAAGAAGAACGGAGACACTTTATTCAGAATCACTGCTGTTGCTAAATCTTCTCCCCACTTTAAATACTCTCTTTTACGCACACACATTACAAGATCTTAGTTAGGTGCTTTTCTAGGAAACATCAGCACTCTTAAATCTATTTAAATCTGTTCCACTTCAGTTAACTGTTTAAATGCTGCAGGTCTTAGCCCTGGCCAGCCAATCACACGCTTCTAAAAGGCAACTCTATGCACTTAGAGAAATTCACTCTCACCATTAACAAAACACTACACATCCTACACCAAGTTCTTTAACAAAACAGGTAACTACATAGAAAAATTTCTGTACGTCAAAAAACAAACAAACAAGAAAATTGTTAATATTTTCATATTTCATATATTTTATTAGTCAACAGTAAGAAATATCTGAACAGGTATTCTGATCTCATAATATTGCACACCATAATCTATATACTCTATTAAATTCAGTTTTGAATGTTTCTAGCTCCATTTCAAATAAAATCACTTGTGTGGAGATGATTAATATGAGTGAGATACAAGCCCACATTCATAGAGAAAATATGACGACATCTGTATTTATTAATATTTCTATCATTTTCAGAACTTAAAATCCTATAAGGGTTCCTCACTTCAGATGAACATTTCAGGATGAATCCATTATGCATTAATCAATTTTAATTCATAACTGATTTAAGAAATAAAAACAACTCAAATGAAAAACAATGTTTCTTAATAGACTGAGTCTAATCCTGATTCTTAAATAAAACTAATTTAAATC